CCCCCCCCCCCCCCCCCCCCAAAATCTGGCTATGAGTGCAACACCATGACCTCAATCGTAGAAAACAACAATAACTAACAAATAGTCACAGTTCTAGTAAAGCGACTCGGTTCTGTTCATTTATATAATTCATTTTTGATTTATGTTCTGACGAGATCTAAATGCGAGCCATTTTTAGCTCAGCCGCTTTCAGCTTTGCATCTTCCATCTTAACATGTCTTGGTAGTGTGTTTTTGCAAAATAAATGTTCTTCTTAGGAAAAAGCAAATATTTATTTATTTTTTATTTTTTTTAGGGTTGAAGAATGAATAAGAAAGTGCGTGGATGTGTTTGTAATTTTGACTCGTCCATTTTGAACTTTCCTCTTGAATAAGTGAAGCTTTTTTTTTCACAAACAGATTTCTCTGCCTGCCTATCTCCTGTGCCCATCTCCTTCCCTGCTTGCCCTGCCTCCCCTCCTCTGTCCTCCCCCTGTCCTCCCCTCTGTCTTCTCCCTCCTCCAGTATTTAAATTAAAGTCTGCAATCAAATGCAGCATAAATATCCACCTCTTTGAGAGAGCTCCGGAGAAGTCATTTCCATAACATAAGTGCTCAGACAAAACAAACTGCCACTTGAGCTGGTTCCCATTGCACTAATTGACCAAGATGATGAGCATGCTCTTCTTTTATTTTTAGCTCTCCCCTCTCCCCTTCTGTCTTCCCACCTCCCTCCATCACTTTAACCCYAAACAACACTCCCCTTTCCTGCTTTTCTGTTTTACCACTTGCCCCCTCTGCAGGGCTTTGTACGGAGGGGCAATAACGCTTTGTGGCTTTTTTTGCTTTGCAGGAGAGAAAAAGAACAAAAAAAGGAAAAAAAACAGAGTAACTACTTTGGTTTTTCCAGCGAATATCCACCCAGAGACAAACTCAGTTGCCTTTTCATTTCATKTTGGATGACCTTCTCCCTTCTCACCTCCTGAGTCCGCTTCATAAATGACGACTAATGTCTCAGTTCATACACCACAGGCTACTGATGATTATTGCAGCGGGGACAGTGGCTCCATTTTAGGTGTGATGGTGTGATTTTTTTTCTTTTTTTTTTTCGAGGGTGGGCGGGGATATCTCTCATTTAAAAGACCCCAWGGCACAGTCATGGAACAACCCAAACCTTGCCCTCAGAAGGATGGCTGCTGGCTCCCTGTGGAAGAACTGTCTCACCCTGCCTCCCTTTTCCTCTCCTTTTTTTCTTTTGTGTGTGTGTGTATGTGTGTGTTTTGCTTCATCCACTCATCCTCAGTTTCTCATCTATAGCCCTCACTCCAAACTTTCTATCTCATATCCTTGTCTATTGTGTTTTTACTCTTTGCTGCTGTCTTTGCCTCGCTTGATGCTGTCGAGATTTCTAATTCAACAAACACCCCCCACCACCACCACCTTTTAAAACACTCACCACGTATTCAGTCACAGAAAGACAACACGTTATGGCTGCGCTGCCATGATGGGCAGGAGCAAACAGCCTCCATCCATCTTAATGTTGGCTACATTTTATAATGTTGATGTCCAGGTCCACAGGGAGCGAGACGTATTAGTAGGGGGCGTGCTGTCTGCGGGGTCTATGATTCCATTTGTTTTGCCCTTGAGTGGATTATTGTTTCACACGGGACATTAAACATGGGTAGTAAGGTGTTATTTAACGCTCTCATACCTCCCCATGGGGATCCTGCATGTGAACTAATTTTGGCCATTTGATCCCGGTAAAAGTCACAACGTGGTCTAGTTCTGAAAGCCACCCCCCCCACTCCACACACACATTTCAAGCTCTGCATTACGACAGGATATCATATCCTATTTAATTTGCTTATCCAAGCACTCCCTGCCACCCCTTTACCCCCTGGTAGGAGTGGACATGCAGTTTGGATATTTAACCCGGCAGCTCACTCAGCAGGCTCTAACCATCTAACCACCATGTCAGTGTATATGCTGAGTCATCACCTTCTGCCATTATCGCTCTGTTTTCTGTGTTATACCTCACATGTACCCTGTCATGTTCTGTATGCATGTTCCACATGAGACACACATCCATCGAAACAAAGCAATAACTTTTGTTTGCCTAATCTCTGACCAGCGGGGACATTTTGTTTCAGATGCAGCGCTAGAGTTGTAAATCTGTTTGCTTCATTCAAAAGTAGAAACCACCCAAAGCTCCATTTTTGTTCCCTTTTCCCCCTTACGGTGTTCTTTCATTGCGTAACAATTCTTATTTTTTGTTTTGTTTTCTACTCCCAATTCCCGTACCGGCCCAGGTGCATTCAGGTGTTGTGTGTTGCATACATGCATTTGTGTCCCTCTTCCTCTTTTTTTTTTTTTCGGTTCGCTCTCTTCCTCTTCAGAACGACTCCTTTCCTCTAATGCACCTCTTTCTCTGCCCTGATTGGTTTTAATCAGGTCGTCAAGGGAGACGAAGAGCGGCGAGATGCTGGAGCTCCACATGAGCAACATCAACGTCGACGTGTTGGAGCTGCTGCTCGAGTTCGTCTACACGGGGTCGCTGGTCATCGACTCGGCCAACGCCAAGACGCTGCTGGAGGCCGCCAACAAGTTCCAGTTCAACACCTTCTGTAAAGTCTGTGTCTCCTTCCTAGGTAAACAAATAACCCGGAGAATTGCAAAGGGAGGGATGTGTGTGTTGCGTGCAGTTGAAACTACAATGTACGAGTGTTTCCTCCACTCACAGCACTGTGAAGTTCCAGTTTCTGGCTCAGTTGGTCACGGAGCTTCTGATTTTGTCCCAGTGGGTCAGACCGAGCACCAGCTCCAGATTTCTAAAAAGGTCAGGGAACAATTGTCACTTAAATGTCAAATCTTCTGGCCAAAACGGCGATGGAGTGAAGAAATAGCTAAACAGATTGATGCTTGGACAAGGTATGAAAAGGGGGAGTGGTTTTTGGAGGTCCCAAGTGGTCATTTGAAAGTCAAATGGCATGTAACAGCGGGTCAGGCAACCCAAAAAAAAAGGACTGAAAATGTCAGCTTTTGCATTCAGTTTAATAAATTGTTTTGGGGTATCAGTAACACAAGGAGAAGTGCATGTTGGCAAAAAGGTCAGCAGCAGGAAAGGAGTGAAAAGAGAGCAAAAGAGGGCCAGAAGCTCACGTTATTGATTTGTTTTTCTCGAACTCTGGGGAGGAGGAGGAGGGGGGAGAACGGGAAACACATTTGTAGCTTTCATTGCCGGTGAGACGTCAATCCATTCTTCCTCGACAAGATTCATGACATTTCGACGCGTTGGAACGGTAGAAATACAGGCACAAGCGTGTGTCCTTGAGCAAAGAGAAATTGATACCGCATCAGGAATTATTGAAGTTTGCAACAAATACAGCGAGGATAAATGGCAAACATTTCCTCGACCTACTTTCAGTAGACCGCTTTGACCTTTATTTACACGTCTTCAGATTCAGAGAAATAAAAGCCAGCCTTAGCTTATTGTGTAACTGCTGCTCTGCGAGAAGTCATTTTTGATGACTGGAAGCTCAGAAATGCATCTGCAACGTGTCCCGCATCTCAGCTATTCTGACAATGTTGGGTATGAGGACAAATTCAAGCATTTCCATGTTGTCACGAACAGTTTTATTCAATAGACTGAGCTGCATTCCTGAATGCTCTGCATGACGGAAATTAAAAACCAACATCCCTTGAAAAGAATGCATGTCGACCACCACCTTTTATAGTTTATACCCATCTTACATTGAGAACTGACAGTTAAGGCTGTTTCAGTTAAGCCTTGAATAAAAGTTTAACAGTCTTATGAGTTTTCACACTGAGTGTGTGTTGTGGTCTACTACCATAACAAATTTTAAATAAAATTTGGTCAAATTAACCGAGGTAAAGCCTTTTTAGTGTACTGTATGTGAAGGTCAATTAGTTGACCGTCATCATGTCATATTGAATTCAACACTGATAGTTTGAAGAATTACTTTAGAGGGTACATATGCAAAATCCAATTTTTTTAGCCTTTGAATGGATTTTGTTGTGTACTTGGATTCTCTAGGAGGGCAGAAGATTTTAATTTAGTCTCTCCTAGTGCTGCATAGATATCTTTATATTGTTTTGTCAACCTGTTCAGTTTTCTCTAATTTCTTGTTATGAAACTTGGTCTGAGCACAGTTAAAGATACGGACACAAAAGCAGGTTGACAGAATTTATTAAAATTGCTGGTGTGAAGGTGGAACCAAACAGGCTCTCTCGTCAGGTAATCTGAACACAGAAACAACACGTTAGCGAGGGAAACAAACTGGGTCAAAGGTGCGGGGTTACGTGAATTCACCAACCTGGTGTTAGCAGGAAGTCTCTGTGGGGGAACTCCGTCAGAGTTAGTTTGGTTCCGGGTTGCTTTGTTTACATCACCGATAAACTCAGTGGGACTAAATGTTCCATTAAGCAGAATCAGGGTGGTGAAACAAGCCAGGGTCATGCACAGAATAAACAGAGGTTTTACCAGGTTGGAGGGTTTAGGCGGTTGTCAGGAGTCCAGGACACAGGTGAGGGTCGAGAACCAGGAAGTCAGATTTGTTGTGTTGCCGGACAGGGTTGAGGCAAGAGGCAGTAATCTAATAAACAGAACCAGAGTCATTACCATGAAAGCCGATGAGCTAAGGTATCCAAGAGGGTCTGAGGTGAGGATCAAAAAACCAGAGGATGTAACAGGAGTCGGGGAACCAAGGCAAGAACAGGACATGGGAACAGAATGCTGGTAGATCATAGACAAGGCTGATGATAAACTGGGAACGGACTGAGGGAAATGGCTGGCTTATATGCAGAGGAACACAGGTGAGTTGCATGAGCTTGATTAAGTGGAGAATCTGTGAAGGGATGGGAGCAGGAGCAAACAGGCTGAGAATAGGAGCTACTAAAAACACAAGACTACACTGTGAAAAACTAAACAAAAACTATGGCTGAGACTAAAACTATAACATTTCTATGACTTTTTCTGAACGATTACATCAGTATTGTAGTATTATCAGTATTGTCAGTATTGTCAGTACATTATTTGTGACGAAACTGCCAAATAATGTTTGAACTTACCAACTACAGTTTGATTGTCTTCATTCTCCTCTACCTCTGGGTCAGACTCTGAATCCAACATGTAAAGCTGGATAGACAAGTCTTCCATTGTGGACATCTTTAAATTAATTTGTAAATAAAAAGTTTTTGCACCACTATATAGTCGTAAACCCCTCTAGTTACAATTGACCGCTCTTGGAACTGGAGAAGCGTGGTTTAGATTTAAAGAGACAGCTTCAAAACGAGTTGATCTGAGACACACCTCAGAAAGGGAGTGAAAGAGGGGCTTGTGGAGCTACAATAAGGAAGAATTGAAAGCGTTCAAAGCATTACAGTTCCACTTTATATAGACCCTAACTGAATTATTTAAATGTGAAAAGAAGAATTTAAAAGCAGAATATGCCTCTTTTAAAGATCCACAAAGAAATATTTTTTCTGCCCCAAATTCTKATAGAGATTGAAACACAGGCAGGTATTTTATTTTGAAGTCCGTACATCAGCTGTAATGAAGCATCAAGCTTTACTTTTATTTGATATTTGATTTGACTTATGTTTGTTTGGGATTTTTCAGATGTTTAGTGACCTTTAGCGGTTGCTATTTGCTCAGAAAGACGCTCGCACGCTGTCTTAAGTGATAAAAGTCTCGGCAATGCTTCCCTTTGAGAGATATTGTTTAATTAAGGCACATTTCAGCGGCTGCTGACCTGTTTGATCCGTCTGCCTGCTTCAACGGGGATGTCTCTTTTGATAAATGGCAGTGTTGTTTGTTGAAAGAAACATTTCCAGGCACAACGCCGGGGATGCTGCACCCTTACAAAAGATCACAAACAGTGGCATAAGCCTTCTTCCTGCTGGCCTGGCCATCAGGGCAGTGTTGTATGTTCTTGGCCCGGCGTGTGCGTGTGTGTGTGTGTCTTTGTGTGTGTAGTAGATCCTGAGATCTGACAGGACTTCTTTAAAGTGGCCCAGCTAATCCCACATCCMGCTCACTGATATCCTCCACCTCATGCCTGGGCTGTGAGCGATCGATTCCCCTAGTTGTTTGTCCCCGAAGCTGTTTTGAGTTATTATAGTTGTTCTTTCTCCGTCTCAGGCTGATACAAAGCCCGGTAGGCTGAGTCTGTGGTACCCGGAGCCACTTTGTCTGTTTTTGTAGCCCTGTACATCTTTTTATGGATGTCTGAAACATGTTTTGTTCCCCCCTGTCTTAATCAATCTGCTTGTGTCTTTTGTTTCTTTGTTGTTCTCTCTCTCTTTCTCTCTATCTCTCTCTCTATTTCTCTCTTTCTGTCCCCGTCTTTGCCTTTGTCTCTACCTCCTTGTCTCCCTGACCTTCTTTATTGACTCCAGAGAAACAGCTGACTGCCTCTAACTGTCTGGGAGTGCTGGCGATGGCTGAAGCCATGAGTTGCACCGAGCTCCACAACATGGCCAAAGCTTTTGCTCTTCAGAACTTCCCTGAGGTGAGTCATTGTTGATCACTCTCTCCTTAATTTCTTTAATTAAAAGGGCAGCATCTCACTGGGCTGCCACTGTTTCTTAGTAGTTGGCAACTAATGCTGCATTCACACCRAAYGCGATTTCAGCTTCAATATCGCATCCAACACTTCAAGTTGGACGCTTGTGCACTTTGAGGTCAGACGCGAGTCAAAATTGCTCTTGAAGCGTTTGACGYGCGTCGAGAGCCTCCCCGCCCCCTCCCTCCTCTGTCAGTCTCAGTTTAATGTCGGATGAAATAAAGGAAATGGCTTTGCTTTATTTACTGAGTGCAAGAGAACGTYGCGCTCATCAGATAATTCATTCATAATGAATTCACCAGATGATTCAGAGATGTTCTGAGTTTGGTGAGTTTCATCACCCAGGAGCTGCGAGCTGACTCAAGGCTCGCTTTCAGAACTATGTTTGTCCCGAGTCTAGTTTGATGAGCCGCTGACCCGCATCGGTGCTGATATCTCCTGCCAGGACACCGACTACAGGCACTCGATTTTAGCTAAAGAGCTCCTGTCATCTGTCTCAGGTTAGTGGACATCTTTCTGTCCCGTCGGAGAATCTGTCACTACGTCACACAGTGGAGTCTCTCTGATTGGTTGACGTGGCGTGTCGAGCTACAAAAGTTCAGATTTTCCAACTCCAGCGTCCGACGCGTCAAGCGCGCCRAACGCTCAAATTGCTCAAATTCTTCWAATCSCGCTGCTCTCATTGCTCTTTATGTGCACTTTCCGAAGCTGCTTGATGCACGTCCACCATAGACCTCGCATGTAAACTTGATGCTTCTGACGCTGAAATCGCGTTTGGTGTGAACACAGCATAAAAATTACATGAAAATAGACAATTTTTACATATTCTTCTACCCCAGTGATCCATGTGGCTACATTCCATGATTCGTTTTTTTTAAATCATAGCATTTTTTTTCTTTTTTTGTTGTTGTTCATAGATTCCAAGACTTTATTCCAAGCTGTGGTCATTATCTTGCCATTTACCTCGGCCCACACTGTACCCACCTCAGCCTGCTTTGTACCTTTCTAGGCAGCCACCCCTACATTTCCGTTTTAATCAAATGGAGCACATGCTTAAATTAGGATAGGGCATTTTTCAAAAACTATTTAACATATATAGTAATATATATTGTTTATAGCCTTGGATCTTTTTTGTCAGAGTAAAAGTTACCTTTCAGGTGATGGTTTGGAAATAGCTGCAACAAAATTGAGATTTGTTTGAGACGGTTCAAAAGGTTTACAACAATTTTGTGACAATTTTAGAGAAAATTATTCACCCAAATGTTTTTAAACAAAAACCATAAACCACCTCAGTCCTGCTATGTACATGCTTTTTTCCCTTATTATTATTGTGTATAGTATGTTTAATGTGTTTATTCTGTTTGCGTTGTGTGTTTCTTTTTTATCATTGTTTTATGTCCACTTGTGTTGCTGCCCCTTGACCATCTTTACATCAYTGTAAAAGAGAACTGGTTCTCAGCTGACTTACCTGTTAAAATAAAGGTCTATATGATATGCAGTCATAACTTACCTGACACTTACTACCTCAATGGGATTTAAACCAAAAACAACACATTTACAACTGTTTTTTTCTATGTTACAACAGCAGAAATAACTTTGACCAGTCCAGCTCCACAATGAAAATGAAGGTGCAATTTAAGAACAGTTGGCTCAAAGATACAGTACTACAAAAACAAGCAACAGATTATGTTTGAGCAAAAAATGCACCAATGAGACACAGATTAACCACTACTAATACTACTACTGCTACTGCTACTATTGAGAACCAATCAGACCACAGACTGAACAACAACCAAACGGGTAAAAACAACTAAATGACTATTTTAGTTTCATTTATTGTTATATGACACTGGCACTTCAGTACTTATTCTAAATTAGATTTTTTTAGGTGATGATGGATGTTTTTACATGAAAGGAGTCCTGTAATGTAAGTGCATTTGTGTCTGCACTTTGAGCTTAGATCAGAGCTTCTCTTAAACAACCTAAAAGAGGAATACAGGCTATGATTTTAGTGCAAGCCAACAAACACAAGAATTCAGAGACTTCTCAGTTTTTTGTAGCTTTAATGGATGGTGAATCTCAGAAAATTACATAGGATTGAAAATGAGAGCATCGGAGCGTAGCATCAGAAAATGCACTTGAGGGTTTGAAAGCAGGCAGCTTCTCTGACCTTATCTTGGAAACCATCACAGAAGGGAAAAAAAACATATTCTCAACCTTTAGCTGTGACTGTGGAGACAGTTATTCATTGAAAAAAARACTTTCATAAGGTTTTGTGTTTTAGCAAATATTCAGTGACCTCCAAAAATATAAATACATTTTGCAGCAGAGCTTTGGACTTACAGTGGGGTGTGAAAGTTTGGGCAGCCTTGTTAATGTTCATGATTTACCTTTATAAATCATTGATTGTTTGGATAAAACAATCAGTAAAATATACCATATAGGGGACAAACACAGTGATATTTGAGAGGTGAAATGAAGTTTGTATGATTTACACAAAGTGTGCAATAATTGGTTGTACAAAATTAGGCAGGTGCAGAAATTTGGGCACTGTTGTCATTTTATTGATTTAAAAACCTTTAGATCTAATTATTGGAAATCAAATTAGGTTTGGTAATTTCAGTGACCCTTGACMTCCAYACACAGGTGACTCCAATTATGAGAAAGGGCATTTAATGGGGGCAGTTGTAAGTTTTTCTCCTCTTTGCATCTTCTCTGAAGAGTCGCAGCACGTGAGTCTCAAAACAACTTTCAAATGAGCTGAAAACAAAGATTGTTCACCRTCATGGTTTAGGGGAAGGATACAGAAAGCTATCTCAGAGATTTCAGCTTTCAGTCTCCACTGTGAGAAACATTGTGAGAAAATGGAGGACCACAGGCACAGTTCAAGTCNAAAATGGAGGACCACAGGCACAGTTCAAGTCAAGGCTGGAAGTGGCAGACCAAGACAAATCTCCAACAAACAGAAGTGAAGGATGTTGAGAACAGTCAGAGTCAACCCACAGATCAGCACCAAAGACCTACAACATCATCTTGCTGCTGATGGAGTCACTGTGCATCGTTCAACTATTCAGCCCACTTTACACAAGGAGATGCTGTATGTGAGAGTGATGCAGAGGAAGCCTTTTCTCCACCCACATCACAAACAGAGCTGCTTGAGGTATGCTAAAGCACATTTGGACAAGCCAGTTTCAATTTGGTTTAAGGTGCTGTGGACTGATGAAACTAAAATAGAGTTATTTGGGCAGAACAAGGGCCGTTATGCATGGAGGAAAAAGAACACAGCACTCCAAGAAAAACACCTGCTACCTACAGTAAAATGTGGTGGTGGTTCCATCATGCTGTGGGGCTGTGTGGCCAGTACAGGGACTGGGAATCTTGTTAAAGTTGAGGGACGCATGAATTCCAATCAATATCAGCAGATTCTGGAGACCAATGTCCAGGAATCAGTGACAAAGATGAAGCTGTGCCGGGGCTGCATCTTCCAACAAGACAACCACCCTAAACACTGCTCAAAATCTACTGAGGCGTTCATGCAGAGGAACAATACAACGTTCTGGAATGACCATCTCAGTCCCCAGACCTGAATATTAATGAAAATCTGTGGTGTCACTTAAAGAGAGCTGAATCATCAAACCTGCATGAACTAAAGATGTTTTGTAAAGAAGAATGGTCTAAAATACCTTCAGCCACAATCCAGACTCATTAGAAGCTATAGGAAGTGTTTAGAGGCTGTTATTTCTGTCAAAGGAGGAGCTACTAAATATTGAGTCAAGATTTTTTATGGTGCCCAAATTTCTGCACCTGCCTAATTTTGTTTAACCAATTATTGCACACTTTCTTTAAATCATACAAACTTCATTTCACTTCTCAAATATCACTGTGTTTGTCCCCTATGTGATATATTTAACTGATATTTTTATCCAAACAGTCTATGATTTATAAAGGTAAATCAGGAAAATTAACAAGTCTGACCAAACTTTCACACCCCACTGTATTTGTTTTATTGACTGAAAGAAAATGCAAAAATGATTAGAAAGTCTACAATGCACATCAACACTACAGTGATTTTAACACAAATGAATACTTTCATTCCTCAAAATAGCCACCTAGATTTAGATCACAGCTCAACACACCAAGTATCCTGACAAGGATTTCTTTTAAATGACTCTCTTTTGTCTAAGCAGCACAGTCAAATCATGCAGTTTGAAGACATTCCCAAAGCAGCTGGGAATGTGATGGATGTACGGTTCAGTTCAAACACTTTGGGAGAGCTCATCCCAAACTATTACATAATATGCCTGTTGTTCTCTTTCTTCACTAATCATGAAGTTTTTACAGTGACTCTGAGTTTATTTGTTCACAAAACTAGCATCTGCCAAACCATTGTCTCATGGTGCAATGTTACACTGTAAGATGAAATTGTTGAGGCAAAAACAAAGTTCACTGTTCTGGGTAGAAAATCTATGAAATTGGGAATACTCAATTAGTGTTTGAGTAATTTTTATACAAACCTCATGAGGCCTTCTCATCTGTGAGTTTTAGTTGAGAGAATGCCTCTTGAAGGAAAGAGAGAATAAAATGTATGCTAGTTTGTGAAAACAGTTAAAAAGTTGATCAACACAGTTTTGAGAACAAAGGCACCAGGAATATCAACTTGTCCTAATATTATGGGTAAATCTTTCATGTGCGCAACCCACGTACTCAACTCTACTTCTCTTTCTTGCTAACGCATGTTCCTTACAAATGTGGCACCATTTAAAAGGGAAAAGAGTTTCCAACAGTATAAGATATATTGCCAAGAAGCATTGTTACAACAAATAAATGATCTATGAAATACAAATTTCCTTACTTTTTGTATGAAGCTAATTTTTGTAAAAAAATTAACATTTTGTAAACTGTTACCATTTTATTCATTTAAACTAGAGATATAGATCTTTCAGAAAAATAATGTAGCAGCATTTTTTGTGCACACCAACCATTAGTTCGAGCCCAAATGATTTCATGAGAGATACCCATTAGGTGCATCATTGTCAGTACCTGTGAGCATAGACCCTGCTACAGTGGTCTATGTGCACAGTTTATGTCTGCTCCAAACATGCCACATATGATTGATTTGGATAGGTCCCATGCCACCAGGCAACTTCAAGCTGATGCTATGTCACCTTTAGCTGTTATTAAAATGCTGKTTTTATGTTTAAATAGAAAATAAACTTATCTTCTCATCACTTCCTCTTCTAAAAACCCTGAAACTGGCCTCTGTCTCTTTAAGAACCACCTTCCACTTCCGTTTTGTCCATTTCGGTGCCGGGGGCGGGGGCATGATGCAGTTTACTTGGTATCTGAAAATACATTTCCTCAAAGATATTTTTAATCTGAAAAGAGATTCACTGAGTGAGAACTAATGTTGAGAGCTCAGCAGACAGTTTTCACTTTCACCGAGAGCCTGCAGGAGTCATGGGC